ATCTAAATACCTTATTTACATGCCTTAACTGAAATGGTGACCTCTGACAAGGTCCAGTGCAAGGAAAGACCACAGCATGACAGTTGACAAAGCATACTATTTCTCAAGATAAAGAGGAAGGAAGTTCTTCATAGTACAAATGTGTGGGGTGGGGGAACCTGAAAGAAAGAAGGCACTCCTTAGGCTAAATTTATGCTGCAGGAACAAACTGCTCCAACAATTGCAGACTCATATCCTCTTCACTCTGGCCCCAACGCAGAAGGAGCACCCTAACTGGGACACGCAAACATGAGGCAGAGATGGCAGAACCAGGCCATGTCCATTAAAGTCTCTGCTCAGAAATGGCACATATTCTTGTCACTCACATTTCATCAGCCAAAATAAATCTTATGGCCAAGCCAGCCATGAGGAGTCTGCCTTCGGTAGGTTAGAAATGTTTATTCCTTTCACAGAACAATGGGAGGGGAGAAAGAAGAACAAATGTTTGCACAATGGCTCAAGCTACCACAAAGGGAATGGAAAAGGACTGGAACACAATTTTCGTCCTTCCTGTCATGATGAAGATGTCCTGTTCTAAAAAGCAGTCCCTCTGTAATTTTTTCTACCCACACATATTCTTTCCCCATGACTTCTATTCCTTGTTAATTCTCTGATTGGTGAGTTTCTTAAGACCCTCAAGTTTTAAAGGCCTAGTCTTTCTTGAACATTTGAAATGCAGAACAATTAATAAATATATCTTCCCCAAATAAGGGAAATCAAGAACAAATGAAGATATTAAGTCATTCATTTAAATGTGACAGAGAATCCAGCCAGGTGCAGTGGCACATGCTCATAATTTCAGCAGCCCAGGAGTCTGAGACAGGAAGATCCTAAGTTCGAGTCTAGTCTTAGTAATTTAGCAAGGCCCTAAGCAATGTAGTGAGACTCCATCTCAAAATAAAAAACAAAAAGGGCTGGGGGTGTGGTTAGTGGTAAAGTGTCCCAGGTTAAATCCCAGGACAGAAGGACAGACAGATGAAAAAAGAAAGGGAGGGAGGGAGGGAGGGAAAGAATCCTAAATGGCTTTTAATGAGAATGAAAGAAGGGTTTCACATCAAATCTTTCCTCTATCTTCCATCTCCAGTCCTAATTAGCACTATTCCCCTTCTCTTTTTCCATCTACGAAATCATAATTCCAGCCTTTCCCCCAGAAGGGGATCTTCCTATAATTTCTGCCTTTCCCTGGTTCTTCTAGGAAGAAGCTCTGGTCCAACTCTGTTCAAGTATCCTGTCCAGACAGTACGGTGAGTGGGCCATGATGGRTGTACAAAGATGTTCATTATGGTGTGTGATAGTAAAGGCAAAAGTGACTCCATTTTGTTTTGTGACTCCATTTTGTAAAACAACCATGCCAAGTAGAAGGGTCATGACTGGGGCAAGATGTTCTTTTCCTTTTGCTATAGAAACCTTTAAGAACAAGGAACTACCTAATGGGGCATTATTTCTGTAACTAGGGTAACGGGGGCTCTATTTCTGTAACTGGGGTGATGGGATAACTGTGATTGGCTAAGCATCCTGCCGCTTGACTGCACTATCCTGCTTCTGTAACCTGGCTTGCTTRCATTGGCTAGACCCTCCAAACACCTCTTTTGTGGTTTTCAGGCTCATAAGGAGCACCCTTGCAATTKTTCGGGGCTGATCAGGGGGACAGCTTAATGTTCTGGTCAGCCACTACCAGTGTGCTTCAATAAAGGCTTGATTCGATTATACGTGAGTGGTCTGGAAGTCAGTTTATGAAACCCCAGGACGTTGCTTTAACTATAACAGGTGTACTCTACACAAATGAAAAGTGGAAAATAACCAAAATGTCCAGTATTAAGGAATACACCACAGACTCAAGAAATGCTACATGAGGTTTATATATATATTATAGATATTAATTGATGGCATCATCTCAATAACTATCAATAGAAACAAATTTCAAAATAATAGTTATAACTTGACCCACACTGGGCAGGAAAAGACAGTGTTTCTAACACAGGCCTAGAAAGTATGGCAGAATACAAAAACACAATGTTAATAATGATTATCTCTTGATAATGATAAATTGATTTTTTTAATCTAATAATTTCCACATTTTTATAGCTCTTTCCAATCAGCAATATTAACTTTTATAATTTAATAAAAAGACATTAGTTGTGGACTAGGRTTGTGGCTCAGTAGTAGAGTGCTCACCTAGCACGTTCGAGGCCCTGGGTTCAATCGTAGTGCCACATAAAAATAAATAAAAATAAAGGTATTGTGTTCAACTATAACTAAAAATATATATATTTTTTTAAAAAAGACATAGTTGTCAAACATCCAATCCAAACATCTTCTGCTCCTAGAACCCTACCTGATCTGGCCCATTCCTCTTGCCACCCCTTAATAGCAGCTACCAAATTCAGTCTGAGATTGCATTTTATTTTAAGGCTTGATTACTGATTCTGGAAGTGAAATAAGCCTGTTTGATTTATACTGGAATCCATCCCCAACCCATGACTCCCAAGTCTCCATAAACTACGGACTGTAGGTCTCAAGATACTGCAAGTATGCCAAAAGGTATACATACGAAGAGTGTATACCTAACAGTCTCTGATCAAAAATTCAGTTCTGTCTGGGATGTTCAGAAACAACACAAGATGAGAGATGACAATGTAAATCAGAATGTTTTATCTGTGGTAAAATTTTTCTATTAATTCCTGTTGCCATGTTTGTTTTCAAAGTAAGGTAGCCACAGCCGATCTGATTAAGCTACAGGGAAGTATTTCCTAATTCAGGCCATTCTCTCAGATTTTAACTATRAGCTTCTGCATGAAATGAACAAGGATTAGTTTTGCAATAATCCAATAATCCTTTAGCTTAGTGGGAACTATAAATAACCTTTTAAGTGGAAATAAGAGAAATGAATATTTTAAGATTATGTAAGCTTGATTCAGGGAATTGACACAATGAATGTTTTGAAATAGCCAAGGCATTTTTTTTTAAGGTTTAATAAAGAAAGTGTTTTGAGAACGAGGTGGGTGAGATTTAAAATAAAAACAACCACCACATTCTTAGCTGTTACTTAGCAATTTCAGGCTTCAATTATTTCCTTCTAAAGGGCAAGTTAGAAAAACTGAAGAAGAAAATGCTTCTTGATAAAACACTGAGCTATCTGATCCAGTTCCCTTTCTTTCCTTCAGTTTACTCCCTAAGATTTCAATCAAGCCAAGGTTTACGCTGCCCAGGTTTTGTTTTGTTTTTCTCTCTGGAGGCAAATTACTTTTCATTAAACTTAATTTTTGAGTCAAAAGCACAGCTGCTTGGAGTGCCTGGTCTGGAGGAACCCTGGCCACTTGTCCCTACAATGGCACTACTTGAAGGAATTTAGATTTGAGAGAATATGGGGAAGGGAGAGAAGGCAGCTCAACAGGTAGTRGGCATTGTGACCAGTCTCCAGGTCTTATCACTCAGCAGCTAGAATGGGGAAGGGGGTGCCAGGGGTCAACGACAATGCYGAGTCCACAACTCAGGAACTCCACTCATACTCTTTACAAGGAGGTTGAAACTTCTAAATTGATCTTGGCCTTTACYTACAATCCCAGAAGCTGTTGTGAGCATAACTTGGGTTACACCAAGCACTGATTCAAAAACCAAACCTTGCTTTTATCAACCAAACCAAACTCTTTCCGCCAGGGCTGAAACAGATAACTCAGAGAACTGTGGCTTCACAGAGAGTCCATAGAGCCCAGTGTGAATTTCTCAAGATTATCGGCAAGTTGGTTGTTAAACACAGCCACTGTTAAAAGTTAAATTATTTTTACTCAAATTTGTAAAAAAAAAAAAATACTAAAGACAATTGTAATAAGTGTCCTCCAAACTTTATTATTTCCTAATTGTTTTACTATTACCATGCTATTGATGCTATTTACAGCTACAAATACCTGTTCAGTAGGAACTATCCCATAGTGTGCTACTGCACATCTCTCCCAGCCCTGCTTTCAGTGACTTTCACTGGGAACATGAAATCAGCTGCTGCAGTGGGCAGGGGTACACCAGAAATCTCCAACCCAGTGAACCCTCCTGGAAGGGCCATTTTCCTCACACTTTTTACCTGTATACAATACCTACAGTGTTAACCAGCACTTTACTTCACAATAGCTATGGAATTTGAGCTGGCCAATATTTTTAGTCAAAATAAAGGCTTGTAGATTATAAATCTTGATATGACTACAAGGACAGAAAGTAACTCCATTTATGGTAGCCCTGTGATGTACCATTCATGACACAATGTACTATCTCAACAATCCTTCATGCCAAGAGAGAGAATATCAAGTCCAATATATAGATGAGTCAACAGAGGTTTTAAGAGGTGAAGTAACCACTAAAAGGCGAAAGAGCAAGTCAGACATCTGGAGATGACTGAGTCAAAAATATATGGTTTTTCCCCGAAGCTACCACACGTACTACCATAATCATTATCATAATGAAACCAAAATCAACCACATGTAACTGTAGATAATTAACAACCATTCATGCAGATAGGGAGAAGGTACAAAGAACAAATTTTATTCATATTCAACAAGTTTGTTTATATTTATTTCTATAATGAACCCACAAAAGCTATCTGAGTAAGAAACAGGCCCCAAGGAACCAATGGAACCAAGAACATCTACATTCAGATGGGACATTCAAAGTTTAATTTAAATGTTGACCTGGTGCAAGAAATTCTCATTTAATTCTTCATATACTTTTGTTCTGTTCACTAAATCTATATACCCAATAAAAAATGGCATACCATACCAAGACAGAATTTTACAAAAATAAAATTCTTCAAATGTTAGCATCAATATTCTGAAGTGTTTGACAATGACTATTTAAGACATTTTCTCCTTTACACTTGTAAGTTATTTGATTGTGCATCCTTTTAACAGTATGTCTTAAAAACAATTCACCTGTTAGTTAAAATAATTTCAAAGTGCTCATAAAAATTTACTCACGGATTATTTGAAAAAATTCTTGTCATCTTGGCTTCCTATATGCTACCAGTTTCTCCCACTGTTCCAGTACATTTCCATCACCTGTCACAAGAAGAAAGAATCTGATTGGTTATGTCTTACAATGGTCACTATTCAGTTTCCACTGCATTAGTCTTTTCTTTTTGTTACAGGCAGAATACATTTTAAAACGTAGTCATCTCTTCCCTTTTTTTCCTAAAAAAAAAAAAAGAAGAAGAAGAAGAAGAAGAAGAAAAAGAAGAAGAGCAAGACTAATAACAAAATTACCCCAAGAGGGAAAAAAAATAAAAAGCACATGTAGGGGTTGGGGTGGAAAAATTTTAGGATACCCTCCACTGTATTTTCAGGAAGAGGTCTGCAGTCCATCTCCTAGGAAGGAGAAGCATCTTCTCTTCCTTTCTCCACCCCACCCACTTCTAAGTTCTCCAAGTGAGTGACTAATTGCCTGGGAGCACAGCAGAGGGCTTTGCCTCTGCTCTGAGACAGAGCAAGTTGGTTGTTAAACACAGCCACTGTTCTCTATGGCATATGCCAAGCAAAGTGCCTTCCTTTTCCTAAACGAAATCATTCAGAACAATATTTTACTTTTTTTTTTATTGTTGTAACATTTTAAGGTCAACAAACTAAGGATAGGACTTTCTGCTTTCTTTTCTTCAAAAAAAGGGCTCCAAGTAAAAACACCCTCCTGGTACCCAGAACCATTGCTCATTTTACGTGAAGAACTCACGGCTCCAAGTAGACAACACTGATAAAATCAAAACCTAAGTTAATTTTCATCTCCTCAAGCCCTAATGGTGATTCAGAGAGAAGAGATCAATTGTAACATGGCTCTGTCTATACACAGGGGTACCACAGTGTCACCTCAAGTACCCAAAGAAAAGGCAGAAACTTTGAGTTACTTAAACCATAATAGGATAAGGGGACAGGGAGTGGATTAAGAAGGGAGGGAACAGAACAAACACCACATAAATCCAGAGCACTTCCCTAGTAACAAAGGAAAAACTTGCCAGAATCAATAAAAATACCAGGGAAGGACCAAAGAGTTAAAGACTTGTAGATTACACCCAACACTGAGGGGGGAGTGCTCATTGGCTAGCTATGGCTTTATAAGCCTGGTTACTTTATATGGAAGCCTTTTAAAAGTATGAAAAATGCAGTAAAGTTTGATACAGGTTCAAATAAATAGGACTGAGCCACACCTGTGCTATTTAACAGTGTGATCTTTGCAGAAAAATCTCTTCCATCTAAAACTCAGTTTTCAGGCCTTTAAAATAAGAACAATGATACCTACCTTGATGAATGGTTATACAATTTAGAGATAATGTATGTACAGAGCCCATCATACAATATGTTCTCAAAATAAAACTACAATTATAGTGCTCACTAATGTGATTATGGTAGAGTCTATTAACATGGCTACAACTGCAATTATGGTATGCAGTCCATTAAGGTCTTAGATTCCTCATATGAACTTTTTGAATAGAGGTTCCAATCACAGTTTTGACAACAACTTAAAACTTTTCTAAGTCAATTGAGAAGGAGTGTTAGATAAAAATGCTCACCTTAGCTGACAGTCTTTAATAACATGAGCTAACAGAAAGTTCTAGCTATGCATTTGTTGGCATTCCTCATGTGAGGGAGCTGGGTTGTAACTCAATGGTGGAGCACTTGCCTACCCTGTGGGAGGCCCTGGGTTTAACCCCCAGTATTGCAAAACAAAGTAAGAGGAAACAATAGCCAAAGAGGACTGAGTTTCTTTCTTTCTTTTCTTTTCTTTTTTTTTTTGAATGACAAATTCTCCAAAGGAAGGAATGAATCATCTCCACCGGTGCTAATCCTTCTGGTGCACAATGTAATATTGTACACTCCATGGGCATCTCTGCAAGATAAAAGCCATCCTGGCAGCCTATCATGAAGGTTATCTTCACACTACATTACTGCTGCACTGGTGACAGCATGGTTCTGTAAGCTTTGCTTAAAAAAACAAAAAATCTACTAGGTGAGGTCATATCAACTTTTAAACATAAGTGTTGGAACTGTACATCTAAAAAAGGTTCTCCTGGACCCCTTCCAAGTAATCCTCTTTGGGACTCACTATAATGGTGCTGGCTCCTCAGGATCAGTTGAATACTCTTTTTTACCTTCAGTCAGCGCACTATATTCACAAGAAAATCTGTCTCATTGAGTACAGTTTTTTCCTGATATTTGAAAAAGACGACTTTATATGCTATCATGAAAAATATTTTAACACATTAGTTCAAAGAATCAAAATCATCACCAAATGGTAATCTGTCACCACTGTGGTTGATTATTCAAAAGAATTATCAGTGACTTCAACACACAACTTCGGTGAACTACCCATTCACAGCAGAAGACTCTGTGCTAAGCACTGGGGCTGGGGATGATTAAAATAAAATTCATTTGAAAGAATACAGAGCAATGGCAGTAGTGATGGTAGAGAAGCAATTAACTCAGTTGATGGAATTAAAAAGAATATTGTGGCCATATAAATCCTATCTGTGATTTTTTTTTAAAAAACCCAGTACTTCCTAATCATTCTTCATATAAAACTGCATGAGATCCGGCATGTGAAAACAAACTAGTTTTGGAATCTGGTGCTTGCAGGAGGATAAGTTCCAGGCCAGCTTCAGCAACTTATTTTTATTTCTCAAAATAAAAATAAAAAAGAATGGGGATGTAGCTCAGCCTCCCTGGGCTCAATCTCCAGTACCACGTACACACACACACAAACACACAAACACACACACACACACACACACACACACACACACACACGAGCAAGTGATCAGAAACACAAAATCGGAGAAGACCTCACTTGGGGCCTTTTTCTATATAAGCCACACTATGACTTAGAAACACCTGGTAGAGAATATGTCACATACCCAAAGGGAGCACCCCCAAGAGTACAAGAATTATTTCCTCAGGCAGTTTCCTGTTATCTTTTCATTGCATTTTTATATCAGGAAAGAGGAGAAAAAAATTACTCAAGGTTGCTGAATTCTCTGTAGATCAGAATAAAGGATTAAAACAGAAGGGATAAGAAACATGTTCCTGGTCACATAGGAGAATGCATAGAGGAAAGAATAAAGAGAATCCATACTCTGCCAGCCTCGGATATGGCAGACTCTGAAGTGGCCCCTTGATCTCAGTCTCTTATCCATGCCTTGGGTAATGCCCTCTTATGACATTCTTATAACCGATAAATTAATGCAAAAATGACAGCACATACATAGTTATATTACATAAGATTACAATGTCTATAATAATACTATAATTCTGCGGCAACTCTCTCTCCCTTGCTGGCTTTGAAAAGCACATTGCATGTTTTGAGCTGCCATATGAGAGAGCCACATGAGGGCAACCTCCAGCTGACAGCAAGAAATTGAAATGTTCAGTCCAAGAACCCACAAAGAGGGCTGGGGATATAGCTCAGTTGATAGAGTGCTTGCCTTGCATGCTCAAGGCCCTAGGTTCAATTCCAGCAAAAAAAAAAAGAACCCACAAGAAACTGACATCTGACAACTACATAAGCACAGAAGCAAATTCTTCCTCAACCAAGCCTCAAAAAAACAGAATGGTGACCACAGCTGACACAATGACCACAGTCTTGCCTAGGCCCCAGCTGTCATGCCCAGCCTCCTGACTCAGAGGCATGCTGGGGTAACCACTGAATTGATCATGCTTCCAAGTGTGTGCCACTTTTGACTGTTTGGTAGCTACAGATAACTAGTACAGAAGGGAAGTGCATGTCCCTGATGCCTTCCCATGTCCTTCTGACAGAGGACGGGAAAAGATTGGGCAGGACCCTGCCTTGGCATCAGCATGCGTCCTGCTTTCCCATGGTTTCTGGCTGCCCTATACAGGCTCTCTAGACTGAGTCTTGCCATTGGGAGGATATCATCCCTAATATTTAACAACAAAGTAACAATCTTCTATTGGTGATCAGGCTGTGGCCAGCTTCAAAAGCCAAACCCTGACACATTTAGAAGTGCAAGAGAATTTTGAACATTACATGAACTATATACCTTACCCATCATAAAATAATTTCAACAAGAATATGGACATGTGATATGTCAGACTTGAACAGTACTTAAAACACATGTTTGAAAGGATAAGTGAGAGTCAGGCACAGGGGTACACACCTCTAACCCCAGCAACCTGGGAACGTCAGGCAGGTGATCACAAGTTTGAGGTCAAAACAGGCCATTTAATGAAACCTTGTCATAAAATTAGAAGAGCTGGAGATACAGCTCAGTGGGAGAGTGACTAGTACACATACACACAAAAAGATAACTTGGATATTTTATCTATTAGTCATTCTGAGACTTTATAAAAATTAAAACACACTAAATTTTCTTAATATGGGCTCTTTAAAAAACAAACATATAGGGGCTAGGGTTGTGGCTCAGTGGTAGAGCACTTGCCTAGCATGTGTGAGGCACTGGGTTCAATTCTCAGCACCACATATAAATAAATGAATAAAATAAAGGTCCATCAACATCATATATATATATAAACTTTCTGAACAAGAACCTATAGCTTCTACAAATCACCTTAATTAATACCAATTCCTGGCCAGTGTGTCCAGGTAAGACTACCTCACTGACCCAGAGACTTCTTCAACAGGCCATCTTATCATAGGCAGACACTACTGGGGAATCCTCCGTTCACCCTCTGAAAGCTGGAAGACCTCCTCCATCCTCTAGCCCTGGTCTCTATTTGACAGATGATGACACACAGACCCAGAGTTCAAGTGGCCCATTCAGGGCCCATCAGCAGCAGCATATTTCAGGTCTTCTGTTTCCCAGGCCTCTCAATACTGAGCTCTACTAGTCTTGAGGTTTCTTTTTTTTTTAGACAGAGAATTTTTTTAATGTTTATTTATTTTTTTTAGTTTTTCAGTGGACACAACATCTTTATTTTTTTTTTTTAATTTTTATGTGGTGCTGAGGATCAAACCCAGGGCCCCGCACATGCCAAGCAAGTGTGCTACCACTTGAGCCACATCCCCAGCCCTAGTCTTGAGTTTTAATGCTAGAAAT